ATAGTCAATCTGAGTTTCAGGCTTTCCTGGCTCAAAAATGAAGCTAATCTCTTGCCCCCTGCAGAGTTCTTATAAGGATTAGATGAAATAACTCATCTGAAAAGGCAAATCAATTCCATGTCCTTAGCAGGCACTCCTGATATATTCATTTGTTATTTAATCTATTGACAGTAAAAAATTAGTGAACAGAAAATAGATGCTTAGCTTTCACTGGGGGCAATTTAAATTTTAAAGAAGTCCCATCAATTCAAATTTTAAAGAATCCCATCTGCCTTATGATTCAGGTCACTCTGACAATGAATAGACTGAGTACCTCGGTCCCAGTCTCTATGGAGATCTGTTATAGACAGGCTAGTATCTAGAACAGAAATTGCCCACTAATTGGGGCTTCAAAATACAAGTCCCCTTCAATGGCTCTATTTTCCCTAGGAAACTGGGTGATTTTTAACTCTGTGGCATAAAGCAGGGGGGCTGTTTGGGGATAGAGCCACACTGGATGATGTTGGGGGAGGGGATTCTAGAATGAAGAGGCAAGAAAGGAGCAAGTCCTAGATTTCTTTATTTTTGTTTTATTTATACCTGGTTATAAAAGCACACATGCAAAATGTGGAAAACTTGAAAAGTAAATGGAAAATAAAGAGTTAAGAGAAAAATTATCCATAGCCTACCTCTCAAAGAACAATTATTGTTAACAGCATTGTGTATTTCCTTTCGTTTTTTTTCCCTATATTTTCTTGATTACATAGTGACTATATATTTTGCATTGCAGTTTTAATCTAACATTTTAATAGAAGAATTTACCCATGTTAATACCATATACACATTATTTTAAAGGTCTCATCATATTCTGTCAAGTTAAATATGCCCTAATTTATTTCCACTGTTCTATTGTTGGGCATTTAGATTATTTGTTTTTTTTTATATTACAAATAATTCAGTACCTCATTTTTGTACAGCTTTTAAAAAGTACCATATGATTTCACTTATATGCGGAATCTAAGGAACAAAAAGAACAAACTAATCAAAAACAGACTCACAACTATCGTGGACAATTTGGTGACAGACAGAGGGGAGGGGAGTTGGGGGGTTGAGAGAATGGGGTGAAGGGTTAAAGTAGTACAAATTAGTAGTTGATAGTTGGGCACGGGGAGCATGGCAGAGGGAATGAAGTTAGCATTAATATGATTGCTAAGTGGAGGGCCAGAGGAGGGAGGGAGCAATTGGGGGGATCGTTTCATGAACTATATAGATGTCTAACATACTGTACACTTGAAACTAATTTAAATAAATAATTTTTTAAAAATCTGTTGCCTCTTTAGGTCTAGGTTTTCAAAAATGAAATTATGGGGTAAAAGGGTTTGGACATGCTGAAAGCTCCTGACACGTGTTGGTAGAAGGTTATGACCCTTTAGACTTCACCAGCAATGAATGGGAGTGCCTTTTTCAATCTACCCTTGTCAACATTGAACAGAATGATGAAAAAAATCACTAAATGAGGAAAAAATAGCTACTTGAAACACAAACTCTACTCCCTTGCTTTCTAGTGAGGTTTAATATTTTCCCACATATTTGTTAACCTGTGAATGTCCTTATCCCACTGTGATAATGTTTTAATGTTATATCTTTTTTAGGTGTATTGCATGACCATTGAGTATCTCTAAAACATCCTGTAGAGTTTATACCAAAAGAGCAGTATTTATGAATTTATGAATTTATTTGTGAACACCAAGAGATAAGGGATAAGATATCCAAGTTTTAAACTCCAAGTGCAAAGAAATCAAGCCTTAAATTGTCTCAGAAAAATCAAAGCAAATGCCACAGGCATAATGAGATGTGTTTTGATTTCAGTTCCAAGCAAATTTTTTATTTCATTTCCTGAAAACAATCTCCCAAATTGGTCTGTGTTAAAAATAATAGCACAAAACGACAAAAATCAGAGAGAACAATTTTTATAACGAAGCAAAAGACTAGGAAGCCAATTTGTCCCCAAAGAAAGTAGGATCATCATTCTTGAATTGATTTGACTGCAAATGATAATGGCTGATATGTATGGGCCGGGTTTGTTCT